GGGGGGGGGGGTTGAGAGAACGGCGAACACGGTGGGATGTACTCACATGCCAAATGTACCGGCGCAGCTGCAGAGCTGGGGCCATCGCACTATTAGTCTAGAATACAGCTTTCTCGTCTTGAGCCTCGAGAAAAATTAAGTCCACACAGGGGCCACTGCTAGTAGTGTAGCAGCAGCAGCAGCAGCAGCAGCACCGCGACAAGCTTCTCCTTCCCACACATCAATTCCGTGTGTGTGCTGCGCAAAAATCATGTGTATCAGCATGCGAAACTGCTCTTGAAGCAACGTGTGTGCATACTGCCGACATGAACAAGGATCCCAAACAGTAGCCAGCGTACACGACAGCAATTGCGCGTCCATGTAGCAGTGGTCCTCTGCGGAGACCACGCGCTGCGGGAAAACTCGTTTTTTTTTACAGCAGCCGCAGAACTCTGCCTATTATTCATGTCGTGCACAGCAGCTCAAATGTAGAAACAAGCTCACAATCCGTCACACAGCATCTACTGCCGACACCACACCACTACCCTGTGTTGCTCACCTGACTCGTCCGTGTTCCAGACATGGTCGGCCACCAGCTGATGCTCGTCGAGGAACTAGCCCCAGAAGTCGTAGAACTTGTGGTGCAGACGTTCATCTTCCGCGGAGGTCACCCTATTGGACTCGTAGATGCGGGCGAGTCGAAGGCTGAAGCGCTCTGCCGTCCGGGGAAGCCCTCAAGCCAGCTCCTCCCCGGGCCCTTGTCAGGGGTCCATGGGATCGGTCGACCGTCGTTGCAGAGCTGTCTCACACGCTCCGTGAGGTCTGCGGTGGTGAGCGGAATATAGTTCCGACCAGCGTACAGCAAAACATCTCCAAGCGCATCCTCCTCTGCTGCGGTCATGACAGTCCCGGGGCCCACCCGCGCGTCCATCGCACACTCACCGCTCAGCCGCCGCGAGAGCGACGTCTTGTTGATCCCGTAGGCAGCAGCAGCAGCGTTGCGTGACGTGCTACCGCTGCGGACCGCTTCACAGGCCTTCGCAGCAGCCTTCGCGCTCACTCTACACCGACCCATGCTTAGCAGCAGGGGGCCAACGAGGGCGAAGATGCGCCGCATCGAGACTGCTGGTGGGCGCGTTACTGCAGCTCGGGGCTCCTATGTGCGCCGATCGGCACGCTGAAGTGCTCAAACGAAAGCTAACGGAAGGCTGATCAAATAAAAAATAAAACAATGGGGCGGGCGGCGTATTGTGCGCCTGGTTATTGTTGTTGTTGTCGTCTTCACATTAAAAACCGTTCCAATCTCTCTCTCGCCCAGTACCTTCGCATGTCCGTACTGATTAAGGAGAAATAAATACACGCACAGAAAGACTACCCATTCGAGATATTCCCACAGTCGAACGGGATGTGGTGGAGTCTTTTCAGCAGGCGGAGGAAAACCGGCTGGGTACTGGACTTATTTCGAGTCTTTAGAAGTCTAAACACTGATGATTTATCAGTGATGCCAGCTGGTGCTAAGTACAAAAACATCTGTATAGGTAAATCTACTTTTACAATACATCCCCTGTAGTTCTCTACAGGGTCAACGACAAAATATCGGAGAGAATCCCTCCGTAGTTGTTGTTGTTGTTTCTCACATTAGCTCTAAAAAAAAAGATTGGGANGTGTCGTGTACTGTAAGATGTAACCTTCACAGGGGACACGGCGCAGTGTCTATTGACAGCTTGCTGGTTTTAGGAATTTAAGGCGAAATAAATAATATTGATGTAAAAATCATGGGAAGATGGAAAGAAGGCTACAGCAGTACATCACTCGTTTTTCAAACCTATAGATTTTTTCATTTCACGGGCAGTAAGTGTTTCACGCCGCCTTTTTTGAATTCACAAAAAAAAAAAAACTTATTTGACCCTTTGGGGTAGCGTATCAGTGATGCTTACAGTAGAAGAGAATGGTACACCTGGTGCATGGTAGGTAGGGCATAGCGTTCAGTTTGTATCGTGTTAGCTGGTTTCCTGGTATGTTTGGTGTTGGTAATCAGCATCAGTAGAGCACGGAAAGTGTTCAAGTGATATACATCCAATGTGGCCATTGTTGTCAACTTCCCTGGTGTTCCTCAGAGCGGTTTGCCGAGACATCTTGTCGCAACCATGTCGTAATCCCGTTGAAGAGCATCCTTCATGAAGGTCAGCAGTAGCAGCGAGTGGCAGTTGGTCTCTCCGTGTGGAGCAGTGGTGTGGACATGTTACGGAGGACGGCGAAGGATACAACACGTAGAAATTACCCACCTGGATACACAGCGATCAGCAGAGAAGACGATGTGTGTCAGCCGCGAGGTCAATATGGGAGAGCACCTTTGCACGAAACCCGATACAGCCTTCCCGCCTTGCCTCAAGTCCTATCGGAGGGGCTATTGATGTGGTACGACGGCAGGGATCCGAATGCCGGCTGCTCCGAACTCAACGGGAGGCTTGGGGGAGGGATCAAACTGGGAATGTGCGAAAGGGGCTTCCCGACCATGGGCTCAACTAACTGCAGATTTGGAGGCCATCGAGGTGTTGTATTTCCACCTGGTCATGTGACGTCATTTGGTCTACGTTTTAGAAGAAATTTCAACACTCGACGCGGTCGATTCCCGTGGTCGCAGGCTAACTTACCCTCAAAAAGCCTGGTATGTTGTTGTCTTCACATTAAACCGTATGTCAGTTGCTAAATGCCAAAATCTAGCAAAGACTCTCAGCCCGTGGTCACGAAAGTGCTAGAGCCATCTGAGGATCTAAAGAACACGCACACATATAACGAGAAAAAGGTATCCAAGAGCCCGAAGAGGTACACCTAAAAAATCCCTGCAACAACACCGTATGCGTGTCCAAAAACTGAACTGCACGTCCGTCCCACCGTTCGACTACAGTAGCATCACCCCCTCCCTGTCCCACTCTATACCAAAACGGAAAATTGCCGACTACAGCATGCTGCTGTCTGAAGTGCTGTCTGTACAAAAACACCATATGGTAGGCAAGTGGTCCTTAGTGAGTGGGCAAATGCCTGTGCCCTCGTACAACTCTAGCCAATCCCAACATGAGGGCCCCCTTAACTCACCGCGGCGCGGTGTTGTGCAGCTCGTCTTCTCACTTCTGTGGTGCTACCGCTCCAACTCCGCATCATCCCATGTCTGTCCTTGTCTGTGCTGCAGCGTTAAAGTGCGTTTTTCGACCTCAACACCGATGTAGAGCTATGCATGCCATCTGCAAGGTAAGTCACGAACGGTATGCAATACATAATCGGAGCTTCTGCAGCAGCGACTTGGTTTATAGTTGGCAGCAGCTGTGCCAGTCTGTTGGTCTGATGTATGTCACTGCTACCGCTGCCATCGCAAGAGCATGATACATACATGCGTATGATCTGCACGTACGAAGCGGAACCAGCTGAGACGACTCCAGGGCTGACTGATGACTGTCGCTCCCCTGCTGGTAACTCCACAGCAGCGGGACAGAACGCTGTATCATCACCGTCCACGACCCACGACTACAGCTATGCCTACAACTCGCTCGCTGTCATCGACAGCAGCAGGAGGAGAAGCAGCCGGCGATCTGCCGGCCCTACTAGCTAGAGTCGCAGCCGGTGACCTCTCTCCGGCAACAGCGGCGTCCCAGCTCGCCCCGCTGCTGGTGTCTGGCGGGGCCCAGGCCGAGGACGTCGGCGGGTTCGCGAAGATCGACCACGACCGGCGAAGGCGTGTCGGCTTTCCCGAGGTCGTGTTCGGCGACGGCAAGTCCGCCGAGCAGATCGCCGACATCCTCGCAGCCATGATCCGGGAAGCAAGGGCTGGCAGTCGCGTCGCGGCCGAAGCAGCAGCTGTACATGCAGCAGCAGCAGCAGTAGCGACGACCACTCCTGCGGAGGCTGGTGATGATGCAACAGCAGCATCGGGTGACGACAGCGATGCCACTGGTGGTGGTAGCCCGGTCGTTGCCACCAGAGTATCTCCCGAGAAGTGGTCGGTCATCTTGGAGGCCCTCCCCGGGCAGCTGACCTACCACGCCGATGCCCGAATCGTGTCGTTCGGAGGACCGCCACGGCGCCGCCGTGCGGCGGGAGACGGGGCTCCGGGGGGCTCGATAGCGACAAGTATTGGGAGGGTGGCGGTGCTGAGCGCTGGGACGTCGGACCTTGCCGTCGCAGAAGAAGCAGCCGTATTGGCGGAGCTGGCCGGGGCAGAGGTAAGGAGTATAGCGTAGTCCCGTGTGCTGACCTGTGCCAATCGTGGGATTCTCGTTCAGATGGTCATCCCGACCAGCACCATGAATGATGCAGCAGTCCAAGCTGCAACCTACTACATATAGGACCTGACGCCGGATGCCTGCCTGCTGTCATAACCGGTATGCGGCTTGTTGGAGAGTTTTATGGCCTATAGGGAAGGCTTCCATTTCTCGATCTTGCCCACTCACATAGAAAAAAACAATAAAACAAACACGGGATTGATGAGCAGCACTCTGCGATTGAGTAAGTATCGCGGTGACGAACACCTGGAACGGGTTGTTGTATCTACTGCGTTCAGGTACGGCCCCTCAACTCTGCCAGAAGCTTTGCTAAGTGCAAGTAGCGACACGGATGCACGGCCATGTTTGTTGCACACCCGGTGCCATGTGAATGTTGCTGACGGCAGCAGCAGCAGCAGCAGCAGCAGCAGGGAGGGATGACAGCAGAAGCAGACACGCAGCAAACCCACACAGAGATGTGCGTGGGGCTGGCACTGTTGCAGGCAACAGAGGCACAACCCTCGTCCATGTACTGTTTGATGGTATGCATACGCATGTTTTCGTCGATACCTCATCCAGTTTCGATAGGAAATGGCTGGTATCCGAGAGAGCCAGCAGGCCGCTCCCGTCAGTCAGACAACCACCACAACCACAAATTGTTGGATGTTGACCCTGTTACCCACGCCGGAGGTACACCACCTCTGAAGCGTGTTGAGGGATATCCGCCCGTGTCGATGTTATCAAGGTCGATGGAGGGCGCCGAGACGGTTGGGGAGACATTCCCGAAAGCGCAGTCCGGCAATATGCTACGTTGGCGATGCTTGCAATCCCATGAGAGTCGCGGTCTTTGTTCTATTGCGCGGCCGCTGACCTGCCCTGAAAATGCGATGTGTTTGTTGTCTATCGTATGGTCTAGCCCGTCCAGTCGCCTCTGCCTTGCAGGAACGATACAGCGTGATGTTTCACAGCCACACACTACATTCTGTAATGGGTGATGGTCGTATCCCTGGCTGTTACAAGGGCCGCTCCCCTCTATTGAGACTAGAATACAGTATTGTATAGATGCCACTCGTTACTGGACCCCCCACTCGCCCTCGTTTTCGCGTATTCCTGGCGTCCTCGTCTATCCTCGGTCTCTCTTTTGCGATCTCCATGCTTCTCTGTCCCAATATATCCCTTGCACTCTTTTGGTTCTCTGTCGTTCTCTCATCTCATCTCATCTCGTCTCTCTCTCTCCTCCCCCCCCCCCCCCCCCCCCCCCCCCCCCCCCCCCCCCCCCCCCCCCCCCCCCCCCCC